AGATGTTACTATAATGATTCTGTAAATGGTGATCAGCACCCAAATATTGTATATAATGTGGAAGCTACTGCCTTTTGCCTTGGCGTGACATCTCACTTTTCGCAGACAGTGCAAAGGCAGAGTACCTACAATAACTTTAAAATAGCTGTAAAATTTTCATTAAAACATCTAATTGCCAGATTTCCAGTAAATTTTTTCTGGACAAATAAAAATCTTTAAAGCCATTTTTTAAGTTTCACAGTCTTACACTCTGGAGCAGAGCGGCAGTCCACCTGTCACTCAAGTGGCCACGCCCTTAATTATGCAGAACTTTAAGGCTTAATATAATTTAAACGGATGAGTTATAAAAAAATTCACCCCCCTCACAGTTGTCATGAAGGGCAAAATTACCTATATAGACCAAAATCACTTTTTGTACCAGGCTGTAAACATGTTTTTTTCTGCTGTAAAGTTGGGCATTTTAACATGGGGAGTCTATGGGACTGACTCCCTTTTGGAGCCAGCCTCTAGCGGTCAGTCGATGAATTGCAGTTTTAGTCACTTCCGTATTGGCTTCAAGCGAGAGACCGGGAGGTTGCCGCTTGGTTTCTCCTCGATTTCCTGCACACGCTGAGTTTTACACCGAGGCTTTGTTTTCACGGGCTGAATTTGAGATGCTCAGCAGGGTTGCCAGGTTTTCACATGAAAACCCTCCCAATCACGTTTCGAGGGGGTCCCCAGTTAAAAATCGCATTCGGGGGTAAAATACACGTTTCTTTTGGTGGGGTTCCTCTACTAAAATTCGCATTCCAGGGGATAAATATCATATTATTGGAGTCGCTTCAACCCGCGGACATGGGGCAACAATGTTAAAGTAGCCCAATTCCGCGGGAAAACCGCGGACTTGGCAACACTGATGCTCAGATAATTTTTTTTATCATTTGTAGGCACAACCTCCTCCTGCTGCTTTCTCAACAGAAAGGCTACAAAAGGATGACAAATACCGAAACTGTGACAAAAGTCACCAATCCTTTCCAGAGATGGGACACACTGTTTTTTAATGGCACATGCTCTTATTCTGCCCCCCTTTCAATCTGCTATAATGGCCTACATGTGTGTTTTTACAGAAATCTAGATTATGTACTATGAAAACACTGAGCTATTGAAAGAAATCTCTAGAATTTTCTTCTATATATTGTATACGGGGCCATATAGAGGATGGACGGACAGACGGTCGGACACATTGTCTGATGAACAATGTGTATGGGGGGAAAGAAGCTTTAATGACTTAATAATTCTTCTCTTTTTTGGCACATTCAGAGTACTT